CGCATGCGCCCTAAAATGTGAGTTGAAACAGCGCGAGGAAATACACAGGGTTTGACAAAATTTTCCCTTTTTAGGAAAAAACTTCTCCTTGACTTTTTTTTCGCCCCCATGCCCCCTCAAAAAAAGCGTCTTTATAACACCCCCTTTTTTTTTTCCCCAAAGACAAATTTTATACACAGCGCAAAACGGGGGGGGGGTCCCGCTTTCCTCTTTTGCTTTTTCCCCCCCCCCCCCCCCACCCACCAGAAACGCCTGATACTCAGACTACTCCAAACTGATAGCCAAGGTCTTCCATCGAGTATCTTTCCATAGTCTTCTATAGTGGCTATTTCTAAGCTTTCTAGTTTTGGCAGCTAGTCTGTAAGGACTATAATTTTTCTTTTAAAAAACGGAAGGTTGAAGTCATCAAATCCTTCTTTAATAACCTGGTGCTTATGACTAGTTATAAGTACGCTTTATGCAATATACCTTCCTATCAAAGCGATTTCCGAGTAAAAGAACCTGCTAAAGATTTTCCGACAAAATTGGTACACTGTTGCAACAAGTCAAAAAGATGAAAAAAAGTAATAAAATGAGGGAGTCACCGTGCTCCTTTCCACGGCAAAATGCTCACGCTCACGACTCTTTACATGGTTTAGGCTCCGTATCAATCACCACGTGCAGCTCACATTTAGACCCAACTACGTTCGATGTTTCCCAAGAAGCCTAAGACATCGCAAGTGGTGTCCGCTGACTTATTATATTATCCACCCTTGTATGGACCGGAAAATGCTACAGCTCTATACAGGCGGTTTAGAGTGTCTGCGATGCAGGCTACGTTTTTAACTTAGCCCTCCAAGGAAGGCTTTTTTATTAATTTGGATGGCTGTGCACTGTTCGACTCGATAAAGCTCAATCCTTACACCATGTCTCATCATCAGTTCAGTTATTTCTACACTGTAGACAGACAACTAAAAGAATTTACAAGAAATATATTTATAAATAAACAATACATACAGTATTGGGACACCAAAAATACTGGAAATAAAAAGCTAAACTAGTTGGGTGTCCGTAATTATAATACTCAGTGAAAATGTGAAAAGTCAGGAAAGAGGCACAACAAATACATTGGTACACATAAATGTCATAAACTTGGTACAAAGTAAATATACAGAACAAAACAAAATATCAGTAAAGATTAATAGAGACTAATGAAATGCGACGTTATTTCTTTCCAATTTAATTAGATTACCCAACAACTAGCTATAAATTGCTACCAATTTTTTTTCTCGATGATAGGAAACAAAGTTATTACTCAGGTGGGTACAGCTGCAGGAAGAGCGCACTGCCATCATTCTTTCTGTTGTTTTCAGCGACGACAGAGGCGAGTTTCAAAATGGCATCGACGTGAAAGGTGAGAGAAATGCAGCAAATGAAAAATACGATTTTAAGGAATATAAATCGAGATATCATAATTAGGACGCAGTCTGATAAATGTAGAGTTTAAATGCCAATTGTAAAGATTTAGCAAAAGTTTAAAGTCCCTCTGCAGCCGAGAACACACGACTTGGAAAATACTGCCAGGGGTACACACGATCTTGGAATTCAGACTGAGTCAGCTAAAAATTGACCAAGGTCGTCACTGTCAGACAGGGCGCAGCTGCTCAGCTGTTTTGGCGGAATATTTTTACAGGCGTTGCGAAAAGGAAATAGCCAAATTCCTGGCTCTAAAGAACGTAGTAAGAGGATAGAGCTTAAAAAGAGAGCAACTGAGGTCTTCGGAGGATAAAAGCCTCCTTGATCTGCGTAGCCAGTGCCTCATGTCATACTCAGCCTCATTCAATATTTTATTGTTAACGCTATATGCGTGCTTTTACTTGGAGCATCACATGAGCAACGACTGTTAAAACTAACTATTTTGAGGAAAACGTCATTTTACAAGTGGGGTTTTCGCTGCCGTCGCAGTCATCGTTGGTGAAGCCTCTTTTAAAAAAAGTTACTGCCTCTGTGTTATCGACTCAAAAGAAAAAAAAACACCAAAGAACATAAAATTAAAAGGCATAATAAAAAAGACACAAAGAAAATGAAGCTTTACTTTGGAAATTGCCATTTAAAATGGTCAATAAATTTGTGACTCCAGAATTTTTCACAACAGTGCCATAAAAATAGAAACCTTTTCATTCGTCACAAATAAGAACACCTCATTAGTGGTGTAAGGTTAATTTTTTTTTCCTGTCTGGAAAGATGAATCCATCTAAAGAGAAATGCACACAGCGCCTGCCAAAGGAATAGATCTTCACGGCGACGCCACCTTAGCTTGATCGTTTTAATTCCTGTAAACCACAATTTATGCAAAATGTGACCTTTTTATCAGGGCTATAAAGACAACAAATTAAAAAGAAAATAAAACGAAAAACTGATAAAAATCCTAATACTTTATTTGCGATGACATAGCACAAACAACGGGAATATTTTTTTATGGATCGTATCTTAGGAGCGNGGATAAAAGCCTCCTTGATCTGCGTAGCCAGTGCCTCATGTCATACTCAGCCTCATTCAATATTTTATTGTTAACGCTATATGCGTGCTTTTACTTGGAGCATCACATGAGCAACGACTGTTAAAACTAACTATTTTGAGGAAAACGTCATTTTACAAGTGGGGTTTTCGCTGCCGTCGCAGTCATCGTTGGTGAAGCCTCTTTTAAAAAAAGTTACTGCCTCTGTGTTATCGACTCAAAAGAAAAAAAAACACCAAAGAACATAAAATTAAAAGGCATAATAAAAAAGACACAAAGAAAATGAAGCTTTACTTTGGAAATTGCCATTTAAAATGGTCAATAAATTTGTGACTCCAGAATTTTTCACAACAGTGCCATAAAAATAGAAACCTTTTCATTCGTCACAAATAAGAACACCTCATTAGTGGTGTAAGGTTAATTTTTTTTTCCTGTCTGGAAAGATGAATCCATCTAAAGAGAAATGCACACAGCGCCTGCCAAAGGAATAGATCTTCACGGCGACGCCACCTTAGCTTGATCGTTTTAATTCCTGTAAACCACAATTTATGCAAAATGTGACCTTTTTATCAGGGCTATAAAGACAACAAATTAAAAAGAAAATAAAACGAAAAACTGATAAAAATCCTAATACTTTATTTGCGATGACATAGCACAAACAACGGGAATATTTTTTTATGGATCGTATCTTAGGAGCGTGTTTATCCCGATGTTTACAAACATTCCCAAACAAGGAACTCCTTCGTGTGACGTATGAATAGGGTGTCTCTTGTGACGATGCAGTCTTGTCATAACTCTGTCATGAAATATTCTTTTGATAGCTATGATTTTTAGCTGCCTGTTTATAATGAATTATAAATAAAAATAGTTCCTAGTAGGTATGAGAAAAATATTAGGCACACAATTTTTTCTTTTGTATGAGGCAAAAATAACAATGAATCAGTGCTATCATCGTTGTTCGTTTTGTCACGCACTACTGTACTTCACGAGGATTACGTACACGAAACGGCGAA